TGTTCTGGTTGAAATGTAGCACACTTAAATAACTCATTAATCGACATAATTTCAAGTAGTTATATTAGACGTCATTATGCAAAAAATAAAGTTATGAACATTTAATAAATTAGTGCACAATTGAGGCCCCTAGAACATAAGGGGTGTAAGTGCCAAAAACAAAGTTTTGAAAAATCTTTGTTCAAAGTTCGATATAAATTTAAAAACCTAGGTAGCACTTTTTCAGTTTTCAGCATGTTTTCAATGACATGTAATTTTTGATGGTGTTATTGTTGTTAATGTAGAAAGTTTGAAGCCAAAAGTACGTGCCTGTTGTTAGATATCAGTTGCTAAGTGATAAGCAACTGCATTTACACCCTTGTGTTCTAGGGGCCTCAATAAGGGGTTTTTTGCAATTATCTCAGTCATTTGTTTATGCATTTTAATTTACAAACTAAAAAATTAAAAAACTTTTTAAGATCTGCAACATTTATTTGAAACATTTTTCCCTAAAATGCACGAGGAACAAAATAGGCAAAAAAATGATTTTTTCCAAACTTCATCTTTCTTTAAAAAATAAACAAAGCAAAATTGGCTGTAATTCTTCAATGAATTATCATCAGTTATCCCTTATCTACCGTTTAGAACATTAAACAACTCGTAGAATATTTTTCATATTTTTTTCCCTATTAACTGCGGTATTATGTATAAAAGCATTTTAGGAATTATTACCATTTATTTCATTCACGAATTTTCTATTGACAACTTTAGCTTACCTAAACATATCTTAGTTTACCGTGAGTTTGGCCCTGCTTATTTTACAAAAGTAGCAAAACTTACAATGGCTGTAGAATTGGCAACGCTGTTATCCTATATCCGTACACTGCCATCTGAACGTGACTTTATCTATAGAAAGTCGGGCTTAGCATACCTACCTAGAAAGCCCGAATGGATCATTTTGGCCAAAAGTTCCTAAATCAATAAAAACCAAGTTTAAAATTAAATATTTATTTGGGAATAAACAAAAACTAAAAATAAACAGTTTTAAGAAATTATATAAACTCTTGACGATAGAATTTGATTTAATTTTTTAGTTTCATTTTAAACATTTGGAACACCATAGAGTTTGCAGTTTTTGGCATTTGCCACACATTGCCTTGTTACAGCCGTGGCACTCATTGGAAGTATGATTTCCTTTACAAAACATTTTTAACTGACATTTTTTTTCTTTTTTGGCTAGTAACAGTGCTGGTGGTTGGTAAATCCGGTGGTGGTGGGTATAGTACCAGATTTCGGGAGGCAAGGTATGGAGCCCGTAATTCTTCACACAGCTGAAGAATAAACTTACGACGACTGATTTTACTTCCAGTAACTTCTTTATAAATAATTCATGCATTTATTGCTCCTTAGTTAAGAATGTTATAAAACATGTGCATTGGCCATCGTCTTGAAGCAACTTTTGTAGTATAAAGACGCGCCATTTGGTCCACTACATCAACCCCGTATTTTGTTTTATTATAAAAACTTACTGTTTGAGGAAGTTTTTTTCCATCGACAGCAACATCCACTGATTGATGTAATGAGCTCAACAAAAGCACATTTTTGTGACTCTTTCCTTGGTATGCATTAAGTGTTATCTTTTCGTCACTCTGGAATATATGGGTAGCATATAATTCTTCATTTTTACTCTTTACGCTTAGAGGAACTTCCTTTCTGTTGCGATTCAAAGTACCCACAAGACTTGTTGATTTTTTTTGCAATCCTTGGCCAATTTTAAGGATGTAAAGTAGTTATCTGTCGTAACATTTTTGCCCTTTCCCAGTTGATTTTCCATTAACAGCAAAACAACATGTTCACTAACACTTGTATCTTTCTTGCGTAGATGATCAGTGTCAGTATAAGGGTAACAATTTACAATATATTTTGATTCCACGCATATCAAAAGCCAAAATTTTATGCCAAACTTATCCGGCTTATTTGATATGTACTGTGTGAACGGGCACCTAGCTTTAAAAGGCAGTAGTTGTTCGTCCACAGTAAGGTTTATTCCCGGTTTGTAACATGCACCACTATTTTCTATAAATCCATTCCAAACCGCAGAGGCTAGAGCAAATTTGTCGGTTTTCAATCGTTCAGATCTCGTTTGCTTTATGTCAAATCTGAGATATTTTATAATATCCTTGAATCTGTCTCGTGGCGTAGGTTGCCTAAAAAACTGAGGACCCCATACTGTTGACCACAAGCTGTTGGTTGGGAAATTTTTGGCGCCGTAGACTCCTCTTGCGTACATAATAGCAAGGGCAGCCTCCAGTTCTTCCAAAGTTATAGTCCATGTGTCATTTTTCAAACATCGATGTGCTTCTGCAATACTGCATTCTTTTATATGACGTAACATGCTGTCGTTGATTATTAGATGCCAAGCACTTACCACACAATTGTTCCTCACGTTTCTTTTTGCATACGACGTAGGACCTGATTCCTCTCGATAAATGTTGTGCTGAGCGCGGCATCCTGTAATGAGCAAACATTCAATGAATATGAAGATACTAAAAATCATAATCTTACCAGGTACTGATCCAGAATCAATAACTTTTCACGTTGTTCCGTCTTTTGATTGTTCGGTGTCTCCGATTGAAATAGTTTTTCCTTGTTGACCTCTTTTTCTCTTGTGACTTGGCTTAGATGCACTTGGATTCACGATAACATTAGCTGACTCGTGCTCTTGAGTTGTAGAAGCAGTGTTTACATAAATTGGTGAGTCTTATACAATAAAACTTTCTAACTGCTCTGAAGCATCAGAGTCACTTAAATCATTATTTTGTGGTGGTACGTATTGTTCATCGTCTGACTCATTATTTTCTGCAAATTCAGATTCACCTCCCGAAACATCTTCTTGTATTTTTCGTATTTCTTCAAGAAGTTCAAGCTGTGATAGTCCACGACGAGACATCTTTACAGTCGTCTTGAATTTTCACAATTGAACGAATGTTTCAATATTCTAGAAACGAGAGTCAGCAGAACCTAATAAACCGCTCAATAACTAAAATACTTTCAAGGAACAAACAGTATGTAACAAAATACCTTCTAGGAATAAACGTACATAAACATAATTTTATCTATCCTGCAGAAAGTTAAAAGAAATCGTCAAATTTTCGAGAAAACGATAATAATTAATACAGGGCCAGTTTGGCCGCTTCAGACTTCTATGGTAGGTTTGTTAGAAAATCCATTTAATAAATTTAGTAAACAATATTTTTTTGCGTTAAATAAGACTTTGTATCAAAATGTTAAAAGTTATAAAATATGAAATTATTATTGTGTCAAATAAACGAACTACAATAACTTCAAATCGCAACAGGGGTCAAATTGGCCCCTCCGACTTTCTAGTGTTAAGAACCTTTCGAATACTATTTTTGTTAAAGCAACTAGAAAACTTTTGAAAAATTGACTTATGTAATAAAATGTCAACAAGAGGTAACATTACATTTGTAGCAAGTTCATATCGCGTTTCTTGACACCAATAGTTCGTGTACACTGCCATGTCAACAAGCATCATTACAATTTCGATAGCTTAGAAATCATTAACTTATTTATACTTGTGTCTACATATTTGTAAAATATTTGTGTCGAATACAGGTTAGTTTATTCTACGATCAATTCAACAATATCTGGACTCAAAAAGGTTTTAAAATATTGCAAAGGTGTTTTTATACTTTGGGGTTTTGTAAAATCATTACTTTGTTCTGTTGTTACCTAATGTTCAAAATCATCAGTCGTTCAGTTTAATAAAGGCTCATCTTTTTCCCCTTCCGTTTGATTGAAGGACTTGCTTGTTTTTAAACTACTGGAGAAAATTGTGGCACTACTGCAGTAGTAGCTGCTGCTAGTCTTTATTTACTGACTGAAACATTTAATATTTCTATATCTTTTTATTTTTCTTATCTTCTTCTATATCTTCTTCAGAAGTTAAATTTTCGTCATCATCATTTGTGTCTTACGTGAATTCTTTCAAAAAATTACGAGATAATATCTCTTATTCGTCATCACTATTACTTTCAGCGTCACTTTCCTTACCAACTGGAGGCAAAAGAGCCATTATTTTATCAATTCTCGTTTTTTGGTCTGAAAAAAAAATGAATGTCAAATAAGCCATATTGGGCGGTGTATATTATACAATACAAAATGTTTTGATTGGATTTGCTGAAAAAATATTTACAATACACCAAAAATTTATTTATACATAAACAGTATAATGCTTCAAAAATAAGTAAAAAATTAGGACTATATAATAAAAAACAATAAACTGATATAAACACTTACCATTTGTTGGTTTGAACAACATGCTTGCTCAGCCATTTTGTCGAGCATTTCCAGTCAGCTACATACGGTAGTCTAGTGTATACTCAACTATAGAGTGTCAAGAACTGGATTTCAAATACTATCTATTGATTGTCAAATAAAAAATTTAAAATATTATGTATATTATAACACACGTTGCCAAGTAAAGGGTTAGGTCTGCAGCGAACAAAGTAAAGACCATATGGTCGTCAATCTTCTTGGAAGACTTGAAGAATAAAAACAAGACAAGCGGGAATGTCATGTGCAGATGTAGATGAAAATAATGTTCGGTTGTATAGGCTATTTAGCATAGCTGTGCCTGAACCTAAGCATATTTCTTGTACATTATTGTAATCTAATTAAATTCTGAAAGGTCAGTATTTCTGGGAAAGTTGCTTCTACCAAAAACTCGTGTGGTAAAGTTTTAGTTTTGTGGTCAATACTGAAATTAATTATTTGATCAAAAGAAAAATGCTGATGTCATTAATTGTTTCATAATTTGACGATTCTACTTATTTAAAATGACAAGTGGTTAATCAAATTCTAATGAATAGTTTATTGCCGAAATTATAGTTTATTAGTTTGGGTTTAGTCTATAAGAGTATAAATGTATAAAAAAAAAATTTTTTTAAAAGCAACAAATAAAAGATGTGATTTTATATAATTGTATGTTTCTTTTTCAGACGATGAATTTGGAGAGAGAACTGTTTCAATTTTGCTTGACGGGGAAGAATCTGAAATGATATTTATTGACCATCCATCATCAGAAATGTCGGTATGTGGATTAAAATATATTTTAGCATGTAAATAGTATTTCTCTGATATATTTTGACTCTCCGATGGAATATAATATCCATTGGTAGAAATAACTTAAATTCATTTCTCTAGACATAGAAACATGTCTAGAGAAATTATTTTTTACAAAAGGATTTAATGTCAAAAAACTCTTAATAAGGTATTTGATACGAAAAAATGTACGCAGTGATTGAAGTAATATAGGATTAAGATTAACCACAAATATATATGGAAAGACGTTGGATACTTTTTTTTAATTGAATTTTTTTGGGTCAAAAAAACATTTTAAAATAATTTTTTGTACCTAAAATGTAATATCAACATTAATAAAAACAACATGCATACTAAAATATTTATTTTATTATCAATCAATGTAAGTATTAGGCAACAGTAAAAAATGACACTTTTTCCAAATAAAAAAAAGGTTCTGTAAATTGGATACCTTATCCAAAATTAGGAACCTATTTTTAAATACAAAAAGCACACACGTAATCTGTATCCATATTTAAATCAGAACGTTTGAGGAATGTGTAGATTCATTTTCTTCTTTTACTTTCTTCATCTTTTTATTTTTAACCATCGCCTTTTTTTAGTTTTCTTTAAAACCTTAAATTTTGGCAACTGTTCTTTATTTTTAAGTGATTATTTTCTTTGTTTTTCGTTAATGCTAGCTTCTAAATCATTTTTGTAGGGTGTACTTATAATTAAAGCCGCATTACGGTAGGCATCAAGATCTCTCTATCTTCAATAGAAGATGAAAATGAATTGAGAGAGAAGAGTATTGACATTCTTCCTTCATATGTAAGGGTACACAGTTACCCGTTAATTTGTGGTAACTGTGGACCCTCACATCTATAATTCCCAGTAGTTTGCTTACCCGTAGAACTTTGCTCGTCAGTGATAGTGTTAGGAATATTTTTCTCTTCATAATATCGTTTTAACTTTTCGGGATCAACTTTTCTTTGTTAATGGAATCTCGATTTAAAGGAAAAATACCTGTTTTTCTAATGCCGTTCACCATAACAGGTTCTCGAATACTGCGCCAAGCTTTTCTCAAAAGACGGAGATGCATACCTACCCCATTCATTGTTACGTGTTACTAAAAGGTTTTCTCGTTTTCTATCTAAATTAGGAGTCTAGGCGTCAGAGGGGACCGAAGATTTTACCTCGTACAAGGCAAGGTTGCCGATTTTAGCGCTTTATGTAGTTTTTTAATATCTAATCCAAAACTTACACTATCTTTTTTGCTCTGTACGTAGAGAAAACACATTTAAATGAAAGTAAAAGATTGCATTTCATTTAAATTTGAATTCCATCATTGTTCTACACGTGTTTCGAATTATTTAATTCCTCATCAGAAATATTTGTGAAAGTTCAAACTGAAATGATGAAATTCGCTATCGAAGAGAGATCCCCCGACTTCTTGTTACTTAGGATATTGCCGTTGTTAGCGTATCAGGCTGTTTTTAATTATAACGGCCAAATACTAGATTGCATTTCATTTCAGTTTGAACTTCCACGTGTTCCTGATGGGGAGTTACTGGAAATATCTAGAAACACGTGTAGCACAATGGTTGAATTTGAATAGAAATAAAATGCAATCTCTTACTTTCGTTATATATATATATATATATATATATATATATATATATATATATATATATATATATATATATTTATTTAATCAATAAAATTTACAATTTAATGCCATAAACTTTAATAACCTGTATAATATTCTCTAAACTAATGTAGAAGTTATATCACAATTAAATTTGTCCGTTAAAATTGGTCTTCTAATCATAGCATTGCTCACTAAGGAGTCCGGAATGCCCTCAAGAGGTTCTAACTAATTTCTAATTTTGGAATTTAGGACCACTTCAGGAAAGGCGCTATATACCCTTCTGTTACGTTCCGAGAACAGTTTGATGATATAATTAATAGATATTTTAACTATAAAGGAATATGAAGGAGTAATTAGGGGATGGGAATAATGGAGGAGATAGTTATATAATTGTAATTTTATATACGTTGCGAAAATATTGGAAAATATATCTATATGAGCATATCACTAATCAACTTGACAATTAATAAACATCCAGCACATGCGTTAAACCTGTTCGTATACGTAACAGCTCTTGTTGATAAATAAAAATTGATAATTCATTTTTGTGCAAAAAAAATTATTTAAAAGCGATATTTGAGATTACTCCCTCTTTTTTAATGTAAGAAGTATAAAAATAAACAGATGTAATATGCAAACAATAACTTTATTATTGAACCTACAAAAACTGCTATTGCATTATTTGGAAGACGCATTATAAAAACAATATGCAATACGAACAGAAGAAAGACATTATAAACAGAGAAGTCATCAACTACAAAATGAATTTCTTTATTTTTCAGTATTTGATATTGTCAACCCTATGAATAATTATACTTTCTAATCGATTTCCCATGGATCAGATAACTTTTCTAATAAATTTTTTAGGCATTGCTTCCCATTCATCAATAAACGTAGCTCTCAATTCCATTATACTCCTTGATGCATGATTTCTGTTCCGGACTCTTCGTTTAATCTCATGCCAAACATGCTCTATTGGATTTATATCCGGGCTTAACGCAGGCCAATTTATTGTACGTATACTGGTCTCCGTCAGACAGGTGGTGATGACTAATGCGGTATGGCATCGTACATTATCGTGAATTAAAATAAAGGCATCACCAATTAATCCCTCGCGTATGGAACCACATGTTTCTCCAAAATGTCTCTGATGTAACGATCCGTCATTAAACCTCCTCCAAGTCCTCCACCAAGTGCGAAAACAACTCGGTTTTCCCATTTATAGAACTGCCTGCCCAAAACAGACAAGAACTACCTTTACGACACAATTTCTTGTATACAAAAATTGAGCAAATCGCTCTTCTGTCCCTCCATAGACTCGACTCATCTTGTCGTTGCCATGTAGGCAGATCCTACTTTTATCAGAGAATAGTACCTGACTCCATTGATAGTCGTCCCATCCAGTTTGGAAGCAAATTCTAGGGGAGTTTCGGGGCTGCAGTTAACTTGGGATCCGTAGCTGCTCTTTTGGTATCAGGTTGACTGCTTTAAGTCTCCTTCTAACTGTTTAAGTGCTGGTAACCACAATCTGGTAAGATTGAAAAAACCATTAATGAAAAGATCTAGACCACAAATATGCATTGATAAGTTAAGAGAACCAAATACATACCAAGAAACTCAAAACAAAATAAATCAGAGTATCCAAGAAATAAAACAACAAAATAAGAACACTACAGATATTGACACAAAGTGGAAGAATATAAAGAACACAATCGAGACTGTGGGACGGAAAACTTTAACATTTACAAAAGCTGCCAAACAAGAATGGATGACACAAGAAATTCTCGAAAAGATGGACGAAAGAAGAACACACAAAAACAAAGATAAAATTAAATATCAAGAAATTAATAAACAAATAAAACAGAAAATAATACAAGCTAAGGAAACATGGATGTCCATTAAATGTCAAGAAATCGAGGAATGTGAGGCAAGGTATGACACTTTCAACACCCATAAGAAGGTTAAAGAAATGATTTCAGGAAATCGTAACAAACCAATCGGGATATTAAAAAATGCAGATGGTACCACTATAACTGAAACGCAAGACAAACTACGTAGATGGAAAGAATACATTGAACAACTATTTTATGATCAAAAAGTAGAACAATTATTAGAAGTCAACGGAGAAACCACGGGACCAGAAATAATGAAAGAGGAAGTTATGTATGCTATAAAACACACAAAAGGCAGAAAAGCTCCAGGACCCGATGAAATACCAATTGAACTATTGAAGATAATTAATGAAGATAATATTGATGTCTTGGTAGACCTTTTTAACTCCATATACAAGACGGGACACATACCCAAAGAGTGGCTTCTCTCAACTTTTGTGACGATTCCAAAAATCACAAATGCTAAAGATTGCAATGACTATCGAACAATTGCGTTAATGAGCCACACATTGAAAACCTTCCTTAAAATCATACATAACAGAATCCACATGAAATTAGAACAAGAAATAAGTGATTCACAGATGGGTTTCAGAAAGGGTCTAGGAACTAGAGAAGCATTATTTGGAGTCCATGTTCTGACACAACGATGCCTGGATATGAATCAGGACATATATGCTTGCTTTATAGATTTCAAGAAAGCTTTTGATAGAGTTCAACATGAGAAGCTTTTAAGTATTCGTAAGACTAAAAACATTGATAGTAGAGATCTACAAATTATATCGAATCTGTATCAAAACCAGAAAGCAAGAGTAAGAGTCGAAGGAGAACTGACAGAGGAAGTAAGTATACTTAGAGGAGTTCGACAAGGGTGTATCCTTTCACCACTCTTATTCAACGTCTACAGTGAAGTGATTTTTCAAGAGGCTTTATTGGATATCGTGGAAGGTATTTATGTCAACGGAAATAGCATTAATAATATTAGATATGCCGACGATACTGTCATATTTGCAAGTGACATGGAAGATCTACAGTACATAATACAACATGTATACAATGCATGTGAAAGTTACGGACTGCAAATGAATCTCAAGAAAACGAAATCAATGATATTCTCAAAAAAAACCACAAAATGTAAATAACCTGATCATCAATAATACAACGATAGAAAGAGTAAAAACATATAAATATTTAGGAACGTGGCTAACCGAAGATGGAGATCAAGTAAAGGAGATCAGATCTAGAATAGAAATGGCAAGAAACACGTTCATAAAATTGAAGAAATTACTTTGCAACCGTAACCTTAATCTAGAGATTCGCACAAGAATGCTACGTTGTTACGTCTTCTCTACTTTACTATATGGCATGGAAGCGTGGACAATAAAGCAGTCTGAAATCAAAAAATTAAACTCCTTTGAGATGTGGTGCTACAGGAGAATGCATAAAATATCGTGGATTGAAAAAGTAACT